AGCCAATCTGGGAGCAGCTCAGGCAGCTGTTAAATACAACAGGCAGCTCCAACAACGCTAGCTCTCAGAACAAGAGGAGGCGAGGGAAGAACTTGGAGTCACCCGAAAAAACAAAAAAAGGGGAAAGCCAAAAAAGAATTCCGATACTTTCCAAGAAGTTCCAAGGAGGGGAAGAGAAAGTCATTCGTTCACCGGGACGTTGTCACCCTAAGCCGGGTCCAAAAAGATTTGACAAATCCAAGGACAAAAAGTTCCTCTTGCGTTCCGAGAGCCGGACTCTTCTCTTCGTTCTCCGCGACTGACCGTGGACTTTGCGACCGGAGAAGTTCTGTCACCTAAAGAATTCCAAGAATACCTTTTTTTTGGGGGGGGGGGGGAATTCTCCCCAGAATTTTACAATTTTTTGTTTTTTGTTTCAATCTGGAAAAACATTTTTGAACATCAATTTGCACTTTTTTGAGGGAACTTTTCAAAAAGTTCATCCCCACGGCTCCATCCAAGATGACTTTGGAGGTGGTGCTGCGTGTCGGCGTTCTTGCTGCCGCTTGGGTACACGTGCTGCTGGCTTTCGGAGAAAGGTCCCACGCCGGTTACAAGGAGGAGATTGTGTTTCCGGAAAAGCTGAACTCCAGCGCCCTCCAGGACTGGCCCGAGGAGAGCGGCGAGGTGTCCTCGGAGGGGCATCTGAGGTTCCGGTTCAGGGCTTTCGGAGAACAACTGGTCCTGGATCTGGAGAGGGACCCGAGCTTTCTCTCCGAGGACTTGACGGTGCAGTACCTGGGCAGGAACGGGCAGACGGACGCCAGCGGGCTCTCCGAATCCGGCAGCTACTTCACGGGGGCCGTCAATTCCGACCCCGAGTCTATCGCCGCGGTCAACTACAACGGCGCCTCCCTGCTGGGGGTGCTCCAGTACCGGGGGTCGGAGTACCACATCCAGCCGATGGAAGGCGGAGGGCAGAACAGCGCCGAGGGCGTGGGGGCGCACGTCATCCGGAGGAAAGTGCCGGAGAAGGCCAACGGGCCCATGTGCAACGTGGGGCCACAGGTTTCCAAGCAGGTGACTGGAGACGCAGACGGTGATAATGGTCATGGCCAACACAAGGCGGCATCAACGAAAAGATCGAAGGTAAGACCGCGAGCATCCTTCCTTTTTAAGAATTGACTTTAGATGTCGAATGTCAAATTATGTGTCGTTGTCATAAAAAGATTCAAAAACATTTTTTTTAACCAAAAACAACACCGTTTAAAGGTCTTGGCAAGAGTCATGGTGGCAGCTAGTCCTACCAACAGTCATGTGACCACTGACAGGCCCATTGATGATGCGCGTATCAGAACTAATCTGTCCGAAATGGACCCACGGGGACCATCAATGGCTGTCAATTGAGCACGTGGGCAATTTAGAGGTTACATATTTGTGACCGTGTCCCACTGCACCCTCCGCGGGGGAACGTTGGCTGCGTTTGGCAGCACGTGTCGCAAAAAAAAGGTTGGCACCAGTGTGGCACCATCTCTAACAATAACCTTGTTTTGACGTTCAACCAATGGGTTGTGAGCCCAAAAAAGGAGGCGTTGGCCAGTTTGCTAAGCCAAGGCCACGCCCCCCCTGGGATGTCATTGCGCTCTGTTAGTACTGGTTGGTAAGACCACCGTGTCTACTCTGCTCTTGCTGAAGACTGCCAGAGGAAGGGGGGGAGGAGGAGGAGGCAGATCAGTGGATGCTGAATGGTGACTCAGAATCTCCCGGTGCCTAAAGCAGCTGCCTCAGTGGCCAACCGTCCGATCCTCATCCATGTCTTGTGTTATTTGTATTTGTTTCCTCCGAAAAACATTGTTTATTGTAGTTATTAGATCAAAGGAACGAATGCAAAGTCTAAAAATATCCAAAAAGGAGATTTCAGTGTATAGTGGAGGCTGGAGAGTTAAACCCCCTGATAGTCTGATCCCATTATGAGGGGCTCCCACCATCCCTGTGCTGAGTTCCCGGGTCTGTACACCTGCTGTGCCCATTATGAGGGGTTCCCACCATCCCTGTGCTGAGTTCCCGGGTCTGTACACCTGCTGTGCCCATTATGAGGGGCTCCCACCATCCCTGAGCTGAGTTCCCGGGTCTGTACACCTGCTGTGCCCATTATGAGGAGCTCCCACCATCCCTGTGCTGAGTTCCTGGGTTTGTACACCCGCTGTGCTCATTATGAGGGGTTCCCACCATCCCTGTGCTGAGTTCCCGGGTCTGTACACCTGCTGTGCCCATTATGAGGGGCTCCCACCATCCCTGTGCTGAGTTCCCGGGTCTGTACACCTGCTGTGCCCATTATGAGGGGCTCCCACCATCCCTGTGCTGAGTTCCCGGGTCTGTACACCTGCTGTGCCCATTATGAGGGGTTCCCACCATCCCTGTGCTGAGTTCCTGGGTCTGTACACCTGCTGTGCCCATTATGACATGCCAGCACTGCCAGGTAACCCTCCTTGTCGGTTATCTCTCCCCCGGCACAGATGGGCCTGTGAAAGGCGTATCGGTGAATGTTGAGCATCTTGTAATTCTGAAGGTTCTGTGACGGCGATTAAACATATAAAGCCGCCTCCTCCGTGCCCCGACCTGTCCGACATTCCTGACGGGGGAACTTCGACAAGACAGATTCTCGTCTATCACTTTGAACTTATAGAGACGGTCCTCCTCTGGAAGCATCAGGCCGGCAAATCCTTGGCGCGGGAAGCGTGGACGGCTGCCACGGTTTGGTCGCGCTTGGATACCGATCGCGCTTTCCGCGCCAGCCTGTTGGCCGCCCCGTGCCACGGCAAACATCTCCGCTAAGCCGTTACAGGTGTATTCGCTGTATGGTATTAGGAGGAGATCGGAGCGCGGATAAGGCGCTCGCGTCCCGAATAATCGCGGCTTACGGCGTAATGTCATACCACAGTCATTATAATAGTATTATACATGTATATAGCTCTGACATATACCGCAGCGCTGTACAGAGAATACTGAGCCAGTCACATCAGCAGAGTTGGCCCTTAAGATTCCAGGGGAAAGGGCCCCGTTGAGCTCCCCAGGGTGCCACTGTCTTTCGATCTGGAAAAGTTAGAAAAGAAAAAAAAAATCGGAGCCGGAAGGACGCTCGCAGGCGGCCCACTCGAGCGCGGAAGGAAGCGCCCATTACAGCCGGCCTCCGCAGTCATTGATGTCTCCCACCGGTTTGCGTCTGGGCCTGCTTTGTGGGGGCTGGAGACGGAAAAGCGTCGTTGGTCGGCGCGCTCGTCTGAGCTGCGGCCAAGGAATGTCAAGGTTGTATTGGTTAATGCCTTTACCACAAACCCATTTTTCCCCCCTGTCATCAGTTTCCCGGCGGGCCGACGCCACGCACTTTTTCCATCTCGCCCGGAGAGGCGAGCGGAATTGGGAAAAGCCGTGC